AAGGATAATTGGCTTCCCCCACCTGGCCCACTTCAGGACTGTGGAAAATTCTACAGCATACTTGGATATCACAGTGGATGACATAGACTCATTCATGATTCGTTCGTTCTTATTGAAGAGAGTTACGTTTCTGTGCTATAGTGTATACTATAGCCAGTAATTACTGTATTCCTTTTCAACCGCAATGATATAAACCACATCTTCACAGGATCAGATAGTGTAAGGACAGTAAAATATCAAATATTCATCAGTACTGCTGGGATAGGGGATAAAATCAAATTGGGAAAAAATTACTCTAAACCCAACATTCCTGTATGTTCCCACCCTTGGGTACAAATTGTAAAAGGCCTCGATTTGAGCTGGGGCACCTGTAGATCCACAAACTTCGCTGGGTTGCCCATGATACTGCTGAACAGATCATGGTTTGCTCCTCTCACTCCTGCATACTTGCTGTGTTCCCTGAGCCTTCTATCTCTCAGACAAATTCCTCATCTTCTTATTACCCCCGGATGAAAAACCTTAATGCTAGCTACCAATTTCACATGGCTCACTCCCTTTATTACACATTTGAATATAACCCAACTAAACATCACTCTTATTTTTGTGCTCAAAGAGAGAGCTAAGGCATGGATCCCAGTCGACCTAATTAGGATTTGGGTTGGAGATTCTGTCTTAAGAACAGGAACATGCATATATTGGCAAAAGCCAGTTATTCCTGCCATCAGTCCTGAAAACAGCAATGATGGTGGATGGTGGATGCCTCACCCAGGCCTGCTGAGGTCAGTTTTCCCATCCCCTCTACCCCCTTAGTTAATGCTTCCGTAGGACCCATGCAGATAGTTACATAGGCAGTTTGCTGTCCCTCACGTGATTGCTTTCTTGAGTTGTTTTTCCTTCCTTCTGCATTCTTTACATTCCAGGGTAATAAAACTGGGAGTCACTTGGGGCCTCACCTCAGCACCTGCACTTCTTGGCAGTGGCTGGCAAAGCAGTCCCTTGGAGCCTTTCTTTGTTACTAAGTATTGGACTCAGTAATCATTTTGTCTGTCAGCAGAACATGTGATGTGTTATTACAGTCCTCTGTTACAGTGTTGTTATCGATTAGTTCCTTTAGGTTTGTTATTAACTGTTTTATGTATTTGGGTACTCTCATGTTGGGTGCATAAATATTTATAATTGTTATATCTTCTTGTTGGGTTGTCTCCTTTATAATTTATATGTCTTTTTTTGGTCTCTCTTTTATAGTCTTTGTTTTAAAGTCAATTTGGTCTGATATAAGTATTGCTGATCTGGCTTTCTTTTGACATCCATCTGCATGATAAATATTTCTCCATCCCCTCACTTTGAATCTACAAGTGTATTTAGGTCTAAAGTGAGTCTCTTGCAAGCAGCATATAGATGAGTCTTGTTTTCTTATCCATTCCGTCACCCTGTGTCTGTTGATTTATATTTGATTTACATTCAAAATAATTATTGACAGATAAGTATTGTCATTTTATTATGTATTTTGTGGTTGTTTCTGAAGATTTTCTCTGATCCTTTCTTGTCTTTCTCTCTCATGGTTTGCTGGTTTTCTTTAGCGATATATGTGGATTTTTTTCTCTTTATTCTTTGCATATTAGTACTTTTTGATTTTTTGGCATAATTAGATTTGAATATAACATCCTCTGCATATATTAGTCTATATTAAGTCAGTGGTTGTTTACGTTTGAACCCATTCTTTACTCCTCGTGTTTTAGATATAGGTTGCCATATTTTACATCCTTTTATTTTTGAGTTCCTTGACTGATACTTTACAAAAATACTCATTTTTATAGCTTTTGTGTTTCCTTCCTTCATACTGTCACTTCTGGTCTTCCTTACTGCTCAAAAAGGAAAGGAAACTCTTTATCTCTCCTTCAGTTCTGAATAATAACTTTGCTGGATAGAGTATTCTTGGCTGTGGATTTGTCTTGTACAGTATGCCACTTCCTTCTAGCTTGGAAAGTTTCTGCTGAAAAATCCTGATAGCCTTATGGGTTTCCCTTATATCTGTCTTCTTTTTTCTTGCTGCTTTAAAATTTTTTTTTATTCTTTTTACATTTTGCCATTTTTATTATAACATGTCTTGGTGTGGATCTGCTTTTATTGATTTTGTTGGGACTTGTCTGTGCCTCCTAAATCTAAATATTTGTTTTCTTCCCCACATTAAGGAAGTTTCCAGCTATGACCTTCAAGTAAATTTTCTGCCTCCTTTTCTCTCTTCTTCTTTTGGGATTCCTATAATGTGAACATTTTTACATTGGATGAGGTCACTACTGAGTTCTGAGTTCGCTAAGTCTATTCTTGCTTGGCATAGTCCTTCTTTGTCTCTTTTGTTCATCTTGCTTTCCATTACTCTGTCTTCAACCTCATTCATTCATTCATTCCTCTGCTTCTTTCAGCCTGTTATTAATTGCATCAGTCATGTTTCCTATCTTGCTTATTGCATTCTTCAACTCTGATTGTTTCCTTTTTATCTTTGTTTTAAGGGTCTTAGTGATTCTTTTCTCAAGTCCAGTGAGTATCCTTATGATCATTGCTTTAAATAGTCCATCAGGCAAGTTACTTCTACTGGTTTTGGTTAGATCTTTGGCCATGACCTTGTCCTGTTCTTTATTTGGGACAAATGAGGCTCTGCAAAACTCCTGGGTTGGGAGATGGGATATGGGAAGGGGTTTGGGCCAGTCTAATGGGTGCCTGCCATGCTTGAACTGAGACAAGGCTGACTAGGGTAGGCAGTTCCACCAGAGTGTGGGTGGGCTTTGGTGTAAGCAATTTAAATCGGGATTATTGGCACTGTACTGGTTCCCATGGGTGGCTCTGTGCTTATGCTGAGGGACCAGAGAAGGAAATGATGGCTTCATGTTCCTTTGTTCTGGGAGATCTCTGGGATATACTCTCAAGATGAGGGAATGACCTTCCCACTGTATGCCCCAGGCGCTCTTCAGATCACTGTTTTCACTTGGTATGTCTGAGGGTTGTTTGCCCTGCTTTCTCTCCCAAAGCAGCCCTGGTACCTCTGGGCTTTCCCTGAGCCAAGCCCTTTGACCCTTATAATTACAAGTCTGAGGCCCCACTAGTTGCAAGAACTCAGTGAAATTTGACCCCTCTTCCTTTCCAAGCCAATTGCTATCCAGGATTCATTTTCTCCAGGCACTCTTTCGTGTGTTAGTGTCTCTCACCCTTATCTACCACCACAGCCGTCACCATCCGTTTTTTTTCTTCCCAAGCCATGTTTCTGCACTTCCTACTTTCTTCAGTATGGCCTCTTCTCTACCTTTAGTTGTGGAGTTTATTCTTCAGGAGTCAGTCTTCAGGAGTATTTAGGATTTCTGGAGTATTTAGGATGACAGTTATCTAGTTGAATTTGTGGATTGAGGTGAGGCTGGGGTCCTCCTATGCTGCTGTCTTCCTCTCTCCATCACACTTTAAATTTTTTTAAGTTTTCATTCAGATTCCAGTTAGTTAACATACGGTGTAATATTAATTTCAGGTGTACAATATAGTAATTTAGTACTTACATATGACAACAAATGCTCTCTTTAATCTCCATCACCTGTTTAACTCATCCCTTTACCCACCTCCCTCTGGTAACAGTTTGTTCTCTATAGTTAAGAGTCTTTTTCTTGGGATCCCTGGGTGGCGCAGCGGTTTAGCGCCTGCCTTTGGCCCAGGGCGCGATCCTGGAGACCCGGGATCGAATCCCACGTCGGGCTCCCAGTGCATGGAGCCTGCTTCTCCTTCTGCCTGTGTCTCTGCCTCTCTCTCTCTCTCTGTGACTATCATAAATAAATAAAAATTTAAAAAAAAAAATAGAACATTTAAAAAAAAAAAGAGTCTTTTTCTTGGTTTCTCTTTTTTTTCCTTTTGCTTTTTTGTTTTGTTCCTTAAATTCCACATACGAGTGAAATCATATGACATTTGTCTTTCTCTGACTTATTTCACTTAGCATATAATACACTCCAGCCCCATCCACACCATTGCATATGGGAAGACATCGTTCTTTTTCATGGCTGAGTAATATTCCTCTGTGTGTGTGTGTGTGGTGTGTGTGTGTGTGTGTACACGTACACACCATATCTTCCTTATCCATTAATCAGTTGATGTACACTTGGGCTGTTTTCATAATTTGGCCATTGTAGATAATGTTATAAATGTCACACAGTAAATTTTTTTTTAAAGATTTTATTTGTTTATTTGAAAGAGGCAACACAAGGAGGGGGGAGGGGCCAGAAGGAGAGGGACAAGCAGACTCCCCGCTGAGCACAGAGCCTGACAAGGGGCCCAATTCCAGAACCCTAAGATCATGTCAGATGTTTAACCAACTGAGCCACCCAGGTGCCCCCACCGTAAATTTTTGAATAAACAAATGTAGTTAAATAATTCTTTCCCCCCTTTTTTTTTTTAAGTTTTTATCTTTTCCACAAAAGTGTGTTGGGAAAGTATAGTAATCGACTGTGAACTTTTTGTGGGATTATGTATTTAATGAATTGTTGCTGTAAAATAGAAGTGATTATTATTGGTTTGGGGAATTTTCTTCTCAGTGATTTCAATAAATTTTTATACTACAGAGCAAGATATTTTTAACTTCTGAAAGAGCCCTTTTCCATGTTCTTTTTTAATATGGTTATGTGTGCCCATACATCTCACTTCCAATTAGGCTTTTTCTCTTCAGTGTTTCTTAAGTAGATTGCTTAAGGAATTGCTAGGACAAAACCTTCTAACTAACTTAATATAGTGTAAAATATAATTTTGGAATGGATTAAGCTTAGAAGCTCTGTCTTGCCTAAAATTTAAAAAGTAGCAGTCATTTCCTCTTTAGTCCTCCTCACATATGCTCGTTATGCATGGTAAAATTGAACGTATTTTCTTAAAACTGGTTGCTTTTAGCACTTTCTCTTGATATGTGTCAATTAGTGCCTATACGCAGTCATCTTAAAGACTGTATATGTAATTAAAAATTCCTAATTTTTTTAAAGGCAGGATCCACAGCACCATTGTTTATTGACCAGCCAGAGGAACCTGAGTCAAATGTAACAGATGGCATAGAATTATTTGAAGACAGTCAACTAACTAGTCGCTCTAAAGCAATAGCATCAAAAACCAAAGAGATTGAACAGGTGAGAATTCAACCTTCTTTAAGTACATAATCTTTTGTTTCTGTCACTTTACACATTGTAGTTAGAACATTTATTGTATAAATATAGTTCATTTTATTGTTTTCACTCATGACTCTGAAATTAGAATGTAAAAAATTACAGAAATTGTTTGATTTGATTTCACAATAATACTGATTAGTTTGGTTCCCCATTCTTTACTTTTTATTTTTTAAATAAAACTTTTTTTAGAGAATATCAATATGCTTGGTAGTATGAAGCAATTGTTTTTTTTTGTTTGTTTGTTTGTTTTTTTAAGCAATTGTAAACTATTAAAATTAACATGGATGGGCTGAAAGAAATGTTAAATATACCAAAATGTTAACAGATGTTATTTTTAGAATATTGGGATTACAGATGTTTATGTTTTTCATTATACCTTTAAGAATTTTTCAAATATTGAAAAAAGTAAAGGATAAGTACATAGATTTAATTTTAATGATGTCATTCTGAAAAGTTAGGATCTTGCTTTTTTAATAGTTTAGATTGCTTAAGGAATATTTATAGGTCAGAACCTTCTAGATATATCTTACTATACTATGAAATATAATTTTTGAATGGAATAAACTTAGAGGCTTTGTCTTACCTATTGAGATTTAAAACCTTTTACTTTTAAAGCCTCTTCACATATGCCATTATGCATAGCAAAATTTAAAATGTTTTAACATGGAAATATTGCCTGTCTCGTAGTGTATTATCGCTCACGAGGATTAAATGAAGTAAATAATATTTGAAAGGGTCTTAAAACATATATAACATGCACTACAAGTGTTTTTTTTCCCCCAGTATAATTAACATACAGTGTTATATTAGTTGCACATATACAGGATAGCAATTCAACAATTCTCTAAATTACTTACTGTGTACAGGTGTTTTTGATGTTGTTACTCTCCAGGTACAGGTGTTTTTGATGTTGTTACTCTCCAGTGCTTTGAGTAAATGTTATATAGTCTTCTAAAACTTTTTTAAGAATAAAGTTAGATCTTTTCTCAGGGTGCTTTCCACTTTCACATCAATTAAAGCCTATTTGCCATGGTTGGATAGGAGATCATCTTCATCAAATCCTGATTGTGATTGTACAGTTCATATTGATGCCACCCCAATGGCAAAGGATAAGAATCTACATAGGAGATTTGTCATATAAGCCAGAAGAGTTTTAAACTGGAGATGATGAGCAATGTCAGGTGCCTAGAAGAATAGAAGGAGAAAAATCTTTCTCAACAGATTGAAAAAATCCTGTTTAAATTGGTAATATGAAGATGATTGGTTCCTTTTAGGATATTACTTAATTGAGAGCATTAATAAAAGGTTTCTGCCTCAGATGTATCCTCAACATGGATATGAATATATGAATATCATTACCCTATGTAGAATTACTACCCATTTGTCCTTTTATTTTTCTCTGTAGTTTTATTTATTTATTTATTTATTTATTTATTTATTTATTTATTTATTTATTTCCACTTGATACATGTTTTTATTTGCTTGTTTGTCTCCCCCTCATCATAATGGAAGCTTCATGAGAGCTATGTGTTGTTCATTACTTTATTTCCATTACCTAATATAGTGATTGGCATGTAGTAGACTCAAAGTATTTTCTGTAAATAGTGGATAGAGTCATAAACCTAGAAGTGACCTCTGAATAGCCCGAGTCACTGTCTTAACCTGACCACCTAACACAGTGCCTAAGCCCAGCACTTTGTAGTAAGTTCTTGATAAGTGTTTATTGAGTGAATGACTTAATATTTTTCTTTTCCACCTAAATAGCAGTTCTTTATAGGAAAGGCTCTCTTGAGAATATAACGGGTAGAAAAATGTGACTGAACTACAGGTTTGGGAATTTGGGGTTGTCATTTATATATATATTTATTATCTCCTTTTATTATGTGTGGTTGATTTATTTGATCTTGAAAAGATGAGCTACCAGTCAGATATATAGCCTAACAGTATACATAAAATTGTTATTTAGTATGGAATTAGTTTTTTGAAGTACTTTATAGCCATCCATACATGTTTGACCTAAAATATGACTAGATTTCTATTTTCGACTTCCAATTGTTCAAAAACACATGAAAAATCTGACACCTTATAAGGAATATTGAGATTATTATAGCAAAGACCGATGACTAAAAGAAAAATCTGGAAAGACATTACTATATTCTGTTATGACCAGAGAAATAAAAAGTTATTAGAAGAAAACTTAATAATGTTAAATAATCTTAAATGTTAAAAATAAATTATTGTATTTAATGTTACCATACTCTGTTTTTAAAAGAACACTTTGGTTTTCATATATTGGCAAGAAAATCAAACCAAAATCCCCCAAGATGTCAGAAAGCTAGCAAATAATCATATATAATTATTTTACAAATCTGTGTCTAAAAGTTATAGTGATTTTTGAAAATAAAAAAGCTTTAAGAGGATTTTCCCCTCATTTTCTCTATTTTAACTTTTGTACATTTTATTCTTAGAGGTTAAATGCCAAATGGATAGTAATAATGTAAAGGCTTGAAAAGCCAGATGGTAGTTACACAGCTGTCCAGTAATTATTCTTTATATTTTTCCACATGCTTAGAATATTTCATTATTTTAAAAAATGAATAATAACCCAAAAAAGCCCACATAGATGAGGCTAACAGTTTAATCTTAGAATAATATAGAAATGTAAGTATTGGTATAATTCCCAGGCTGCTTTTTTCTCTGTTACATCAAGTACAATATGTTCAGGTATCTTGTAAAGATAAATTACCACAGATAATTTTTTTTTAGGGTATCTATAAGTTAGGTTCTTCACCCTTTGAATCCCAAGGAAATCATTAATTCGTGGTAGTATTGCAATATAAAATAAATTTAATCTCTAGACCAAAATTTGGTTTAATTGAATATGTCCACAAAATGCCTACTTGATGTTTAAGGGCATGCATAGGGAGGTAGTTTTTATCCGAATCACTTCATTGAGAGAGCAAGTTCATCTTCTTTGCCACATTATTGCCATCTCATCCCTGGGCATATAAGAATTCTGACAGGGTTGGAAATGTAGATGCTTTTTGAAAAAGCTTCCCATGTTATAGTCAAATATAGCAGAGAACTACAGTCTAAAATACTTGAGCCGGAAGATAGCAGTTGCATTTCTGAATATTGTGTTACTAGAGATCATATGAATCATCCCACTTGTACTTGAATGTCCTTTAGTGGAGATAATTCATTCTATTGCCACAACACATTTAGCCTCCCCACTGACAAGATCTGGATTAGAGTCTTCTATCTTCTTTCTTCAATTGGAATTAGATAATCTGAGTATATCTGGGATGGAGTGGATATATACAATATGCGTATACATATACTGCCTAGATCGTACAGCTATGAATGTCAGGGTGGCTAAAATCCTCCTATAGACACAAGTAGCAGAGAAGCAGTTACCTAATGAAATAACTACTAAAGATAGTAACTGCTGTTTATTAGGGTTTTTTGCTATGTAAACTAATAGTTTTGAAGAAAGAACTTTCCATCTCTTCCCCCTCAAAGCACGGTACTTACTTTGTGATTCTCTGTCTACCTTTGTTATACATCTGTGGGGCTTATTAAAAGTAGAGCTTCTTGGATTTCTACCATAATTATTCTGGTAAATAGGTTATCAGAGCTTCCCAAATTTTAATATGCACAGAAATCATATGAGTATCTTGTTAAAGTACATTTTTTTGACTCTGTAGGTCTGGGATGGGGCTTGAAATCAGAATTTCTTTCTTCCTTTTTTTTTTTTTAAAAAAAAGATTTTATTTAATAATTCATGAGAGACACAGCGAGAGACACAGGCAGAGGGAGAAGCAGGCTACATGGAGGGAGCCTGATGTGGGACTGGATTCTAGACCTCCAGGATCACAACTGGGCCGAAGGCAGTGCTAAACCGCTGAGCCACCCAGGCTGCCCCTAGATCAGAATTTCTAACATGTTCCTTGGTGATGCTGATTATCCTAATCTGTGAACATATTTGGAGTAAGGAATTAGAAGGAGGTGATTATTTTTTCTTTAGTTCTTCTCTAGTTTTCTAATATGTTCTAAAAGCCTGAGAACTATTACCACCCTAGTTTTATGTAAACTAAGGAAGTTTTATGTATTTTTAATTGATGTATAATTAACATGCAATAAGGTCCATAGATCTTAAATATTCAGTTGGATGAATTTCGACAGTTATAAGACTGTAAGTAGCACCTATAACAAATATTTATTAAAGTCTTTTTCAGAACAGTTGATTATACTGACAGCAATAAAGATTTAGTCAGGAAGTAAAGTTATGATCATGTCTCAAAATCATATGATTTGATGTGGTTTACGTTAAATACCCTTCAGCCAAACCATTAAGGTTGTATTTTAAGCAGTAACAGACAAAGCATAAATTTCAAAGGACACAAGAGATTATGCAGTGAAAAAAAAGTTTCCTTTATAATTCTTAGCTGCCCAATTTCTTTTCCCAGCATATAGACTATATAACATACATATGTATGTGTATACACTGTTTATATACAGCATTTATGTATGTACATACTTTGTGTGTATCTATACACATACATCTGGATCATGATTGGTCCTCATGAGTAGAGATAAGAGTTGGTATATGTGTCTCCATATGTTTTCTTTAAATATAAGTAGTGGCTTACCATTTACCCTGTTCAGTATATCCATTTTGTATCAGTGTATATATTTAGCCACCTTGATAAAAAGAAAAAAAAGGTGTATATGTATTTTTAAAATATACAAATATTACATTTAAAATGAGCAGGTTGGGGGACATCTGGGTGGCTCAGGGGTTGAGCATCTGCCTTTGGCTCAGGGCGTGATTCCAGGATCTGAGATCGAGTCCCGCATTGGGCTCCTTGCAGGGAGCCTTCTTCTCCCTCTGCCTATGTCTCTGTCTCTCTCTCTCTGTCTCTGATGAATAAATAAATAAAATTAAAAAAAATAAAATG